GCTGCGAACAAGCCAAATCTGAGTTCTGAGAGGTTTGTTCCTCCCTGAAAAATCGTCTGGGGTGTAATGATTCTCAGGCAGAGTTGCTCAGAAACCCAGCTCTTCTTCAGCTAAGGCCAACTTAGCACCCTGACATCTGGCTCACCAAGTAGCCACTCCAGCCTGCAAGACAATCACTGTCGGCTAAAAAAAAAACCCAAGGAAGAAGGTAAGCCAGCGAGAACGGGCTGTCAGGGTGCGGTCTGCTGAAAACCCAGGGCCATCTCTGAATCTCTCCGGTGGGATGCAGCAAAATGAAAACAAGAAGGCAAATCCTAGGGCTGAAGTCATCCCTCAAGGAAAACAAAACAAAAAGACTGTGGATACTTCTGCATCCACAAAAGCCACTGGATCAGAATCATCTGTAGGATAGGCTGAAAAACTTTCAAAAAAATAATTTGAGTTGCCCACCAAGAAAAGTCAAACAAAGACAGAGTTAGCCTACCAGCTGTATTTCCTACCTAGTTTGACACGCTGGCTCCCAAAAGTCAATTTCCCACGTTTGCCTTTAAAGACTCAAACTAGACAGCTTAAATGGAAATGTGAAATTAAGCTAGACTCTGATTAAAGGGTAGGGGGGAGCCTTTTAACAATTACCCTCACTAAGTAAACACCCAAACAAACCAGTCTACAAGCTGGAGGGCTACTGGAGACATTTTATTGAGAATGTGAACCTTAAACAAAACTCTTTCTGTTTAAACACTACCCCCGTTATTTCACGGCCGTGTAATTATTCATTAAGCTTGACATTGGAAACATTTCATATTGGATTGCTCTGGTTATTTGAATTCTCACCCTCAACTGGACTGGAAAGACTTGAAAGGAATACGTTTTCGGTTACTGTTTGGGCAGGGGGGGTGCTTTTTGCATAGTAGGTAGTCAATGTTTTAACTGGTTAAAACGTACAGGCAAAAAAAAAAAAAAAAAAAAAGATTCGGATCTGAGGGAGCCAGTATAGAAATTATACAAATACCAATTATCTGGGCTTGCCAGATTTTTGCTCTAGAAATACTATTAAACACAGCTCTTTGTCTATGAATTGAGAAACACTTTATATACTAATAAAGAATGTGTACTTCATTGTGTATTTAACTGCATAAGCCTGCATTTGGTTTAATTGACCAAGAATAAGTCCTTGTTCCTACATTAACTATCAAGTTACAGTCAACTCTTAAATATTAACACTCATATTGAGGAACGAAGATGCAGATAATATAAAACAGAAGATTATTGTAAACCATTCACTCTTGGTATGCAGATATATTCTTTTTTTTTTTCTCTTGCAATTAAATGCGTATGGCTGATATTATGGCATTTACAATACTTCTAACAAAGGACTTAAGGCATACTGGAAAAGTCTGACGCAGGAGGTCTCCAGGCCCATCCCTCACTCCACTCCGCTATTTGGACCAACTCCCACTTGTCCAGGACAGCATCACCTCACAGAAGCTTGTCAAAAAGCATGCAAACTACTTTTTTCCCAGGTTGTTGGCTCTTCACAATCACACTTTGTAGAGGGTGGGAAAGTAATCAAGGGTTTTAGGTTGGAAAAGCCCTTTTATTTTAACTCCTACTGGGCTGGTGTAAACAAAGATGTCGTTAATGTCAACAATGACTTAATTAACCAGAGTAGGTGACAATGTCAGGAAGAACTTGAAAGTAAGAGTCACCTCCTCCCTGGGGTGATCAAGCTTGACTATACTTGAAATAATGAGAATATTAATCAGCATAACAGTCCCTGGCATTGAAGATTACCCCCACCTTTGAGTCAATAAACTGTATTTACATTGTTCAGCTGGTCCGCTACAGCGAGTGAATTGAAGATACTCATTTTTAATCTACAATATTAACTAAAATCTTCTAGAGACCCATCAGCTACTTTTGTGTTTTCTTAAATCAGCTGAGTAGACCCAACAAGAGTAGGTGTTCCCACTTCAGAAAAAGTGTCCAGAAGATGAATGATAGATGTGATGTGATGTGAGATATATATGATACGATACGGTACGATACGGTACAATGATACGACGGGATACAAAGACAGGAAGACAGAACATATGCTTCCCACGGAAGGGCCGTTTTAGAGGTAGCGCCCAGGCTCTTTCCTGGAGCCTCTCAGGCACATATTTCTCTGGACACAGTTTTCCTCCGGTCCAGCCCAATGAACATGACTTACTGAACTTCCAAATCAGCAAACCACAAAGTCTTCCAAAATGAAGCCTTGTGCAAGAGAAGGTCAAGGTTGAACTTACTGTTAACCAAAGCTGTAGTTACATTAACTATGAAGGATGGACACACACGCTCACATACCCCAACTGGTCAGGGCCAGGACCTAAACTGGAGCTGCCCTATTTAGCTGGCTTCTGGTTGTTAAGAACTCCGCTCTCACCTATAATTAGATCACCTTCCTACTAACCTGGGGGGAAGGAGCACTCCTGTGCTGGAAGAACTCGTCTTGGGGCTGACATCAGTTGCCAGTCCTGGGCTAACAAGAGGAGATACTCCAGTGGGGAGTGGGGTACAGTGGAAAGCAAACACAGCTGCCTGGGAACACGCAGGGCCTCCTCGGACAGAAAACACCTTCTTCGCAACTGTCTCCAAAAGCATAGATATTTCTTGACATGTGCAGCTGGCAGGACTAGCCTCCCAGACTGGGAAAGCCCAGGTCCCCAGCTGGCTGGGGAACAATGATAATAATAATATGTACTGGGTGCTTATTAGATGCCAGGCTAATTGCTTTTTATGTCTGGGTCTAAGTTACATCTCCTACCAACCCTCTGAGGTAGATTGTCAGAAGGCTTCCAAGGATATTAGTATTTACTTCATGTAAAAGCTGGAAAAGACCCTTATCAAACCTTTACATGGTAAAAAGGGAGATGGAGGCCCAGGGCCTTGTATGCTTTTCCAAAGCCTCCTCTTTGCAGGTTTTTGCTCCCTCCTGTAAATGTTTTCTTTTCTCCCCCCGCCCCCCCCAAGGTCTTACAACCCTGGGCAGAAATCTCATGGAAGCGACAGACCCAGAAAAACGCACAAAAGAACATTCATAAAATATTACCTACAATTTCAGGGAGTTCATGGACCGCCCCACTCTCTACCCAGCGTGCACCCACACATCCCAGGCTGGGAAGACCTGCTGCTTTTGACAATATTCACATTGTGGGATACAAATCCCTATACAAATATCCCTTTCGGGGACTTTATCGCTTCCGACCGTGTTTTCCAGCTCTGCCTCACCCCTCTCTCTTCCTGCACATATTATAAACTTTCTCCAGTAATTAAATATGGCCAAAGAAATCCTCCAGGGCCATTTTACACTTTACGTTGAAATAAACTCACAATAATGTTGCCCTGAACACGCAAATGGAAAATGACAGTTTTTTCCAACCCTGGGCCCGCTCCTGAAGCCCACAATATAAGAAATCCCAGCTCAGCTTCCCATGTTTGTGCTGAGCCAGGCACTCAGGGGAAAACTGGCAATTAGGGAAACATCCATTTTAATTATTAGCAAAATTAAAGAAGTACAGGCATGACTTTCAGAAACCAGGAAACTTTTCTCTCACATTAAAGCCCTTTCAAAATGCATCATGACCACAAATTACATTCACCCCATGTCACCGCCCATTTCACAAGGAGGCAGTTCCTAAAAGCCTCAGACACAAACTCCTACCAGGCTCCCACCCCAGAGACGCGGAAGCCAGGTGATGCCACCACACCTGGCCACGACAAAGCCTCCACGCGTGCGTGCAAGAAAAAGGCCACCAGTCAAGCGCACTCACAGGATTGCTTCAGGTGATAAGTGTCTCCACCAGGAAAAGATCTGCTTACATCCTTCAGTGACTCACGCCCAGGGTCCCATCTCTCAGCGCTCTCATCTGGGATGGGGACACAGCCTCCCTCCCGTCCTGTCCTAAGGAGGCTGGGCTTTCTTGTCCTCTTCCAGCCCACCCCTCTGGACGAGCTTCCCCAGAACAGCTGGCTGACCCCCGAACACTTAGGACCGCACCAGGCTCCTCAAGCCGAGCAGGCACCAGGTGGGCTCTCAACAAACAAGTTCATTAAGTGGCGATGAGAGCTGGGATCTGCCGTGTTGTTCTCGGATTACCACTCGAAAAATAACTCAGCTACCGATATTCCCTGCTGATGACAGATCTCAACACTGCACCGAGTTGGGCCTTGGCTAATGTTGTCTCAGAAGGACCCGGGAGAGAGCTTCCAAATCTGCCCGGCTGAATCACGCAAACTCTGTCATCCCCACTGCTGGCCTTAAGCCTTTAAATTTCCATTTCCAAAGCTGAAACACCAGTGCATGCCCCATCCATCTGGAAGTCCTCATAACGGGGGAGACCCTCTGGCAAATTCACATTTAAATTTACCTAAAATAGAATCAGAGGCTCTACGAGGCATTGCTTAAGTATTACGAATTACGATGGTTAAAAAAAAAAAACCTAATGTCAAGCTTCTCCATGCTGAACTTCAGAAGCTTCTTTTTCTCCTCAGACAATGAAAATAAAATGTCAGCATTTCAGAGGCTGGCGATTTCCTTTAATGGTTGCTTCTGTCAGAAAATAGCAATTCTTCACGTTGTAAGCAAGAATCTCCCTCTTGCAGGCATGCTACACAGGAAGCTGTAGACAGTATTCCTCTAATACTGCGGGTCCCGTCCCCAGCTCTCCTGGGCAGTGGGTACAGGGGAACTGCCACTGCCTCCCTCACCCAGCACAGAGACACGCACACTGAGAAACCACCAAACTGACCTTTCTGCCTGCACGGCCGCTGCAAGGAACCTCCTCTTGTTGTCTGTGACTTGGGAGGAGCAAAGCGACCACTCTCAACTGCCCTCAGAAGACTCATTCACAACGCAAGGGCAGCTGATTCTAAAACAGGCCTTACCGTGAGCGCCACTGCCCTGGACAAATCCCAAGACAGCCTTGGTGCCCTGAAAGTGAAATGAAATGGTCACTTACCTTCTGGCTCTACTGTGGTATCCTCAACTAAACTGAATGAGGGCCGGGCCAGGGACAGGGTTGCCATGGTGACCACGACCAGGCAGATGAAGCGCCCCAAGCTGACCATGGTTACGGCGCCAATGCCCAGGCCTCTTCCATAACTCCACGTGGACAGTAATCCCATCTGCACACCTCGGCCACGGGCATGGGGCGCCAGCAATGCCTTCAGCCTGCAGGGGGCTCAGGAACCAGGTGCTGCTGCAGCCACTGCTGTCCTTGCCGCTGCTGCCGCCGTCACTGCTGCCACTAGAGGAAAGAGATGCGGCGAGTCAGTGAAATCCTCCCCGGTGCCAATCCACCCAAACCCAAGCAGATAATAAAACCGTTGTCCAGCCTCTCAAATATGTGAAAGCAGAATTATTTTCCATCATCTGCAAATGCCTTCCATCCTCACCTTGGGCTCCCAGGTGTTTCCACAGGACTGTCTACAAAATGGGTTAGGCTAATCTTTTCAAAAGCAGACTTAGGCAACGCAGATAAAGGAGCAGCTACAGGACGCAGATCCATGCGACCACTTCAGTTAGGCAAAGAGCGCCCTCTCCTACTATCAGCTGGCACCTCTACCGCCCCAGAAGGCAGAAGCAGCACGACCTTAATTCCAAGGGCAACTATAAAATCAAGCGCAAAATGCTTGGGATGGCATCACCAGCCTCCTTAACTTCTCTTAGTCCAACCGGGCTTTAGAAAGCTGACTGGGGCAGGCTTCTGCTTTCAGCCCCATATTCCTGCTGGGCTGCAGCGGAGAGGTTTGTCCACTCTCCCTGAAGGTCTCAGGCAGAAAGGAGGCCAGCAAAGGAAAACTCTTCCCAGGAAGGCTACCGAAAACTTCCACTGGTTTACACTTGTCAGGATTCATTTTCAAATGCAGAAGTGTATTTCAAACTTTCGCCAAATAGCCACTTAGAAAGAACAAACGAACTGTGCTCCATTCACATCAGTTACACAAAAATGGGGCTGGAAACCTAAATCCCCTTCCATGTAAGCCAGGTCTAGGGAATGTCCTCAACCTACAGAAGGTGGGCAAGAAACAGAGAAGAAGCCAACTTGAGTTTGCAGATGAATAATGCTGGTATTTACTACGAACGATGAGGATCATATGCAAATTATTGGCACGGTACGTGATTGGGCCAATAACTTTCAATGTGTTGACCACTGGCTAAAATTTCAGAAGTTCCAAGTGGGCGCTCAATTTACTATCCTGTTCCCACCCACGTGAGCCAAACATTTTAAAGGCAAACAGGATTTTCAAAGAAAGCTTAAAATATTCTAAATAACTTTAAATTCGTTTATTATTTTAAGTGTATAGGCAAAATGAACAGGCTTTGATGAAAACAATCACCAAGAAGGGTACATTAACCCGGGTTCAGATTCTGTGAACCACATTCTTTAAGATTAGGGGATGAAGTGAGGCCTTAAATGTCAGATATCTAAATGCCTAAATAAGAAGCCCTGGTGGCAAAACGGTTAAGCACTGAGCTGCTAATTGAAAGGCTGGCAGATGGAACCCACCCAGTGGCTCCTAGGGAGAAAGACCTGGCGATCTGCTCCTGTAAAGATTACAGTCTAGGAAACTCTATGGGGCAGTTCTACTCTATCACATGGGGTCACTATGAGTCGAAAATCAACTCAAGGGCACCTAACAACAACAATGTCGAAATGTCTGATGCTTGTTACAAGTTATAACACTGGATTTCAACACTCCCAGAGGATTTCCTAAACTCTATGATGAAAACGACTCGATTTAGCCTTTACTGACGATGAAAATCTGGTGGCATAGTGGTTAAGAGCTCGTCTGCTAACCAAAAGGTGGGCAGTTCAAATCCACCAGCTGCTCCTTGGAAACTCTATGGGGCAGTTCTACTCTGTCCTTTAGGGTCACTATGAATTGGAATCGACTCAGTGGCAAGGGGTTTGGTTTTGGGTTTTCTGAGGATGAAAATGGTTGAGGGCAAAGACCCAACACCATTTCCAAAGGACAAATACAGAAAATCTCAGTTTCTAAGAAAACCCCCGTGAAACTGCAGTTCACAGAAAAGCAAGAAAAGCGCGCGCATGCCTGTTTTCAGATCACTTGAAGAAGTTTTCCCCTTTTTTCCTCTTAAAGTTAAGTGCCTCCAAAGATAATTCCATGTCTATTTCTACATACACGTGGGAGGCAAGCACACAAAACATTCACGATGATTTACGAAGCAATTTCAGAATGCATGGGAATTTTCTGCCTCTCACACAACTTTATCAACACTTTTGACTCCTAACAGGAGACTGCGCCCCCGGTTGCTCCCCCGCCGCCTCGCCCACCTGCCCCTCCCTCCAAGGAGTCTCCTCAGCTCTGGGCAGGGAAAGGTGGGCAGTGCCCTCCACCAAACCTCAAGCCGTTCATTCAGCCCATGTTTCCACCAGAAACTTCCATTTCCACAGTTCCAGGTCAAGGCCCCACAGGAGCCCCCTCCCCAAATCCCTGCAAGCCAGCGGCCGGGGGGCGGCAGGTCTGCACAGCTCCGCACCCGAGTGGACAAAAGTACGGAGCGACCCCCTAGGCGGGATAATTAGGTCCCGAGCTCGGAGTTGGGAACACAGGCCCAGCATGCCGCTGGCAGCCACAATCCGGCTTCCTGCCTACAATACCATAATCCTTCCTGGAGCCTGAGCCCCAGTGAAAGCCCCAGCGTGTTTATTTTTCCCCTTGAAAGGGAACTCTCTTCTCAGCCTGCATGCGGGAGGAGCTGTCACTCGCCCTCTGATGGATGGGTCTTCGCCGCCACCCGCTCTCCTGGTTGATTTTCACCTTTGCACAAGCCAGCCCCAAAGATAGGCAAAGTGACCATCCAGGAGAAAGGAACCGCTGAAGGAGTCCCCAGCCCAGCGCTCGGCTTCCAAACTTCCCACAACAACCCCAAACCTCCTGCCCTCCAAGAAGAAATGCCAACGCTGGCGTCTAGCCTGAACGAGGCGCCCACCTCAGGGGACTAGTCCCTCTGTCCACCGCAGGTCACCCACACTGGGCACTTAGGTGCCTGGCTCCTGGGTAGATTTCACATCTGCAGAGTCAACACTGCCCCACCAGGTTGGGGATGCCCGGTTGCCCCAAGGAGCACACCCATCTCCTGGCTCAAAGCCTCCCTACTGCTCCCCCTACACCCCAGAGCTGAGTAGGGCAGGGAGCTGCCAACGTGTTAAGTCTGGGAGGAAAATTCCTCAACACATTGAAATGACAAAAAATAAATACAGGTTGACCCAGGACGGCAGTCCTCACTCTGTTAACACAAGCCACCTAGATCTTGAGGGCAGTTTTGAGGTGCTCCTCGCCAGCACCCCCCACTTCACTGCAGCATTTCTTTCACCCCTGTGCCTGGAATACTCCGTTTTTCTACCCCGTCCTCGACGCTGAAGAGCTCAGAGAAATCTGCATTTTAATTGACATTCCAGGGAGAGGACCGCCTGATTGCTTTTCTATTCAAACTAAACAGGCTTTTCAAATGAAAATGAGTCGAGGCCGGGGGAAGATTTACAAGGATTTGGGACCAAGGGGACAATGAGGTTTTAAATGTTGATAGCGTTTCACACCAAACACATAATGGGTGCCCAGAGTTTTGAAAGCAGGTTCGCCGGGAAGGGTAGGTTTTATTGAACTGGGCAAGAAGGACGGGCTGAAGGAGTTTGCGAGCGGGCAGGCTGCGCGGGGCGCGGCGGCTGGTCCGCCGGGTCCGGCTCCTATCCGCAGAGCGCCGCCTGCGCCCGGCCGGCGGGCCGCAGTGGTCTGGCAGGCGCCCCGCGGAGCCCCCGGCCGGCTCCCCACCGCGCCCCGCCGCTGGAAGAATAAGCGCGCAAGTCAGAACTCGCCGGCGCTTTCGACATCTGCGAGCGGCTGCAGGGCGGGCAAGCCGGGAAAAGTCGGTGCAGCCCGCCCCCTAGCCCCGGGCGCCGCGCTCCCTCCAGCCCTCGCCGCCCGCCCCGGCTCCAGCGCCGACGGCGGCCGCGGGCACCGAAATCGGGGAACCAGAGCAGCCTTCCTCCCTAAAGGTGCCCCCATCTGGCATCACCATCACTAGGGCATGGCAACGGGGATGTCGGCAGTCCCACCCCAGAGGCTCCCTCTCGATAAGGGTCCCCCGCCAGAGCCTGGATGGAAAGGGATGGGCGCTCCCCAGGCCCAGGGATGAGGCGCCCCAAAGGTGCCCCACAGGGCGCCCCGCCTGCGGGGCTGTGCCACGAGCAAGCAGCCCCTCCGCCCGCGCGCTCAGGAGTCGGAGGAACGCGGGACTGAGCCGGTGGAGTTTGACAGAGAGGGGATGTCAACGAAAGAGGCAGATGTCAGCATCTGGATGGGGTAGTGGAGGCAGGACTTCCCAAACGCCAGCCGCGAGCACGCACCCACCTTCCGCCATCACCTAAGCAGGAAGAGGGAGGCCAAGAACCCCCCTCCCCAGTGCCAGCTGTCCCGCACCTTCTCCGGGGGGACACTGGCCCGGCGACCCGGGCCCCCATGGCGCCCCTCTCCTGCTGGCGAGGCGTCCTGCTCCGTCCCGCTCGGCGATTACCTTGAATGGCAACGCGGCTCCTGATCCGTCCTGTCCCCCCGGCGGGTCGGGATGGAGCGAGCGCCGAGGTCGGGGGTCCCTTGGGGGCAACTCCAGCTCAGCGTCGTCCTTGGATCCCCGGCAGCGCAGGGGCTCCGGCTTCACGCGCGCCCCGGGCTGCGGAGGAGGGCGGGCATGACGCCCGCGGCTGCGCTCGGGTTAGGGGAGCGAAAGGAAGAAAGGACTTCGGCTCGGCGTCTCCGCCACCAAACTTTGCTCGCCACTTGGGAGCGGGGAGAGCGTGCACGCGAGCTGCGGCCTCGGGGCCCCGCCGGCCTGGAGAGGAGTCGCCGCGCCAGGCCGGGTCCGCCGCATGCAGACCCGCGGCCCCGAGCTTTGTGCGGCCGCCGCCCGCTCCGCGCTCCGCACCCGCCGCCGCTCGGCTCTCCGCGGCGCTCTGAGCTCTCCGCCGCCGCCGCCCGCGCCGCCGCCACCGCCTCCTCCGGCGGGTCACGCCCCCGCTGAAACCCGAGCCGTTTCCTGGACGGCGGCGCCCGATCTGCCAATCAGCGCCGCGCACAGGGGCCGCCCCGAGCCCTGCGCGGCCCCCGACGCCTCGGAGCGGCCCGGAGACCCCGGACCTGCAGGCAAGGGGCCCGGGCGCGATCTGGACGAAGACATGCAACAATATCCTCCAGTAACAAGGCGGGTCTCCCCTACCCCGCGCCACCTCCTATTTCCCTTCTCTTCCCTTCCCTTGGAAGGTAAACTGACCAACGTTTTACTAGGTGGCTGGGTGCCATTGTTTTGTTTCAAGTCAGAAAATAAACAGGATACCTGCTCTACCCTTAAAGGAACTTTAAAATGCATAGGCGTACTGCTGGGGGGAGAAATTTAATGCAAATGAAACTTTTGGAGAAAGTGAGACAGCTGGGAAATTTTGCAGGACGTCGCATTTTTCTCTGGCCTTCAATAGAACAGAAGTGATAGAAAAAAACTAATATTTTATGGAGGCCCCACCGTGTGCCAGGCGCTCCGAATAGGTTATTCTATTTAATCTGCACAACCCCCCTGCAGAGTAATATTCCCAATTTCTAAAAAGGAAACTGAAGATCAGAGAGGTTCAGTAATTTGCCCGGGGTCACACAGCTGGTTACCGGCAGAGCTGACTTTGAACCTGATCCTCTTAGAAAAAGTGAAAAACTGCAACAACAATTGTTTAGTAATACATATTTGGGTTAATGAAACATTTTTAAAATTGTAAAACTTCAACTCTGCCACAAATAGCTTTTGGACCTTGAGAAAATCAATTCTTTTTCTGAATCTTAGATTCTTTGATTGCAAAACCAGGGAGTTGTAACTGATTAGCTTTAAAGTTCCTATTTCGCATTTACCTTTTTCACTAGGCTGTGTCCACAGGATAATTTCTTTTTTACTATACTTTCTCTCTCTCCTCACTCATCCAGCTCCTAAGCAGTCTGCTTCAGTTCAAGGCAATATAGATAAAAACCTTAATTATCTTTCTTTACGAAAGGTCGTTAAAGAAGTGCCTTAGAAGGCTTCTGAGGCTTAAAGGCAGATAGATGGAGCAGTAAGTACGAGGCTGACGTGGAAAATCGACTTTTCCTGCATTTAGAAATGTAGTTGCAGGCAGTACCTTAACATTTCATTCTTCACAACATCTATGGAAGTATTTCTCCAAGGTGCCACATCATTGGAAAATCTTGTGTATTCACAATACATCATAGAAAGCTTTCATACAGATTACTTAAAAGCCAGGAAAGAGTGCAAATCCATTGAAATGATTCAGACGAAACCAAAACCCAAACCCGTTGCCATCGAGTCAATTCCGACTTACAGCGACCCTATAGGACAGAGTAGAACTACCCCATAGGGTTTCCAAGGAGCAGCTGGTGGATTTGAATTGATCTTCTGGTTAGCAGCCTGCACTCTTAACCACTGATTCAGGCAAACAGCTATGAGATTATATTTTGGAAATTTGGCAGCAAAAACAAGAGTCTGATTCTCAGGCAAAATTATCAGCCTATTGCTGAGAGGGAGGGATGTACTTTTGGTCAAGTCCTCTAACCTGGATCAGTCCCCGAATCTTTTAATTAAATGACACCTCAGCCAGGTGTCCCTCAGCCAGTCTAGATTCCCCTACCAAAACGTTTTCAAGTTCTCAGACCTTGGATCACAAAAGAGACGCGGCAGAATGTCTGTCTGCTCGGAGGTTGGCACTTACATCTTTATATTCATCACCAATGGGAAACTCGAGTGTTTCAGGGCAGATTCCTTTCTCATCCTGTACCGTATCCATCAGCCACTGAAAACTCCCTTAACACATTCTCACATAAATTAATGGCACAGGAAGCTCAAGTCCCTATCCCCCATTCATCAATAGCTTTATGTTCTCTGAATGGGAAGGAAGCCTTCCGCTGAAAATGACAAATAAGAACACCTTCTTTAACATCCAGATGCAGTTTCCAGAATTTATTCTTCCTAGGGATAAAAAGACACCCATCCATCAAAAGCCCCTTATTCCCTCAAGAGCGCTCATTTTTAAGTGAGCGAAGCCGCAAGCCCACCACAGCAAACTCTTCAGGTTTGAGAAAAGCATGTTTGGAATTTTTTTCTTTTTTAATCAATTCTGTCATCATATTTAGGCTTCAAGTGACCTCAGAGGGTCTAGGCAAGCTTTCACACCAGCGAGGCTTCTGAATGAGAAAATAATCTCTTTACAGTTTTTTCTCTTCCCTCTTCGAGTGGCTGGAACCCCTTTTGTCAATGGCCTCCCGTGAATGGTGTTGCTAATAAGCCTATTAATGAGCTTCCACGGCTGAGTGTGAATAGGTAAATAAGCCCCAATCTGTTGAGGTTCAGGGGCGAGGACAGAAAAGCCATCAAGAACTAAAGGTGACAGTTTGAACTGAACAAGGAACGCCAGCACCAGGTCTCAGCTGAAAGAACCATCAGACAAGGCTACATTCACAGCCCTCCACCCCCTACTGAGGCCTCTTTTCTTCCCAATTCTCCCCCCTTTACAAAATGCCTTGAGTAGTCACCCTTTTTTTTTTCAAAAGCCTTCGAGACGCCCTTCTTTTTTTCACTCTAGTAATGATACATCAATGGGAAGGAAGAAAAATGAGGACACCAGAACGCCAATGCCCCCAGAAGTTTCCAGAAACACATTGTGCTTCAAGCCCATTGGTTATGGGAAGGAAAAAGAGGAAGGGGTGGAGACCTTCGCTGCCACAGCCTCTCTCCTTTAAAGATCTGGGGTTTTTCTGTTAATAATTTGGTTTTTTTTCTTTTAATAATTTGATGGGTGGCTACTCCTTCACCCTACAGAACTGTTAGATGAACAAAAGCTCAAGAATGTGCGTAGCATAAAAGAAGCACTAGAAATGAGGAGTACAGAATAGTCTAAGAACGATGGTAAGAGTATTTACTCCTGAAGATGAGGGGAGAGGCTGGATCCCCCAACAGCAAGCGCCCATTTTCAGGAAGTCTGGGCTGTTTAACGGAAGCAAAATCATTGATCCCACCCCTGAATCTCAAAGCCAAGACTTACCTGGACAGAAAGTCCTTCTGGAAGCATCTCCTCACTTTCAGGTGAGGGAGCATTGCTTCCTTAAATTGAGGGGCTACAAGGCTTTGGTTCCCGCAGTCCAGCTATGGCTCTGGTCACTCAATAGCTGTGTGACTTTGGGCAAGTTACTTACCTTCTCTGAGTCTTCTGTTTTCTTGTCTGTAAAATGAGCAAAAGAATGGCATCTATCTCACAGGGGATCAGCCCAGGTAGTGCAAATGGTTAACATCTTGCTCTGCTGCTAACCGAAAGGCTGAAGGTTCAAGTCCACCCAGAGGAAACTCGGAAGTAAGGCCTGGCAATCTACTTCCCAAAGATCACGGCCATTGAAAACCCTATGGAGCACAGTTCTACTCTGACACACAAGGGGTCGCCATCAATCGGAATTGACTCCACAGCAACTGGTACTGATAAATTTCGTTAAAAACCCATTGCTGTTGCGTTGATTCAGACTCATAGCAACCCTATAAAGCAGAGTAGAACTGCCCCCTAGCATTTCCAAGGCTGTAAATCTTTATGGAAGCATACTGCCACATCTTTCTCCCTCAGAGCAGTTAGTGGTCTCCAACTGCTGACCTTTTGATTAGCAGCCAAGTACCTTAACCACTGCACCACCAGGGCTCCTGGTAAATGACATAGGTGTGCTAAGGATTAAATGAGTTAGGATGTGACAAGCAGAAAGAACAATGCTTGGCACACGGGCAGTGCTAACTGTATAAGCGTTACGTATAATTCTCGTTGTTGTTGTCACGTGCCTTCCAGTCAATTCTGACTCATGGAGACCACTCCTAGAAGTGTTGGGAGGATGAAAGGAAATAGCTTAACCTATAGTGCCAGAATCCAAAAAAACAAACTCATTGCTGTCAGGTCGATTCTGACTCATAGCAACCCTATAGGACGGGGTAGAACTGTCCCATAGGGTTTCCAAGGCTGTACTCTTGATAGAAGCAGACTGCCACATCTTTCTCCCATGGAGTGGCTGGTGGGTATGAACCTCTGACCTTTCAGTTAGCAGCCAAGAGCTTAACCACTGTGCCACCAGGGTTCCTTAGCACCACAGTACCGGATTATTATATGGGCTTGGGTTTTACATAGCCTCGAGTCATTTTTACTGCTAAATTCCACAGGTTCCCCACCAAAAGGCCTGGCAGGACCTACCCAAGACCCATCGGAGATGAAATGTGTCCTGGACAGGCCATCTGAGTCCTACAAATGGCTGTTGAAATAGAAAGCATTACAATGCTCATCAGTCCCCGCTGCTGCTCTTCCCAGCAGCAGTCCCTGGGGGTGGCAGTGAAGGCAGAGGAGGTGATACCGTGTAGTCTTGCACTTTTCACACCGGTGAGCACAATTGGTGCCAAAGAAAGAGTTTCCTTAAGTCCATGAGGAGCATCTGAATAAAAAATGCCATTATGCCCTGCGGTGAGGTTCAATGGATTTCCAGGTGTCTTGAGTGTCACAGGTAGGCCTTCCTAAGGCCATTGGGCCCAAAGGTGAGGGAGTGGATATTAAATCCTAACCAGCCCATAGAGTTTGATCCCCACATTTTAGAGCACAGAGAGGGGAAGTGACAGGCCCAAGGACATCCCTCTGGTTAATGGCAGGGAGACCCAAAAGTCTGGTCTCCTGACCAGTTGGGGTTTATCCCAGTGGCCACCTGACCGGCTGGGGTTTATCCCAGTGGCCAGCAGGGCAAGTCAACCACTTTCACCCATGCCAAGTGATTCCACACTTTCTAGATGATTCAGCTTAGTGTGGAACTGAGTAGAATTCATCGACCCCCAGAATGTTAATCTTCCCCCCAAAATTTACCCATCCACCCTCGGTTCAGCCTGTTTCTGTTTCCTCAAGTGCTTCAAGAAGAGCTTGTGTTCGAGTCATTATT